GCTTTTTTGCAGTCTTTAATCATGTCTGGCCGATTAGCTTTGATCTTTCTTTCTGTATGTATTGTAAAATCCCATAAAATTGTTACCGGTCCTATCTCTGTAATCATGTCTGGGTGGTGTTCATACCAATTTCTTGAAGTTTCTTCACGTAAAAGTGGCATATTTTTCAGTGCAGACCTTAAACCACACTATTATGTCGAGTTTTATTGTTTTTAGATATTAATCACAGAATCTGTATTTGGGATCAGCACAAGTTTTCAGTTTGTGTGATTGGTAATTTCTAGTTAGATTATTATTATTATTATTATTATTATTATTATTATTGGTTATATGCCATACGTGATGAACGCTTAGGTGATCATGTATCTTTCGCTACACGACTGAAAGAAAGAAAAAACATCAAACAAGAAGGAAAGAAAGAAACAAATGAAATAAGGAAGAAAGAATGAAATTAAACAAGAAAGAAAGAAAGAAAGAAAAAAAATCAAATAAAAAGAAAGAATTGAATGAAACAAGAAAGAAAGAAATCGACGAGAAGGAAAGAAAGAAAGAAATCAAACAAGAAATCAAAAAAGAAAAAAATTCAATCAAGAAACAAATCAAACAACAAAGAAAGAAGGGAAAAATTAAACAAGAAAGCAAACAAGAAAGAAAGAAAAACACTCTCTTCCTTTGCAGTAGAAAATAAACTTCTAGATATTAATCACGGAATCTGCATTTGCGATCAGCATATGTTTTCAGTTTGTGTGATTGGTAATTTCTAGTTAGATTATTATTATTATTATTATTGGTTATATGTCATACGTGATAAACATACGTGATAAACGCTTAGAAGATCATGTATCTTTCGATACACGACTGACGAAGCAGATTTTTTTCCCGAAATAGCTTGACATTTCTTTTTGCGGTACACTATTTACAATCAAAGGCTACAGAACGCATAGTTGGGTGGGGGGAGAGAAGAAGCAGATTCATACCTTTCCCAAGGGGTATATAGCTGGCCACTCGTATTCGAGGATAAATGTCTTCTAGGGCGACTAGCCAAACCCTATTGTAGACGCTTTTGTGTTTATTCATCATCCACAGAGCCAACCTGGGGTTTATACTGCAAATATGCTGGTCAGACATTATATTACAGTTTCTGGGAAATAACGTGTTATCTAGTATGATCAACAATTTGAACAAGGCCGGCACACTCAAGCCGTCAGACACGATGACTTGTGACTTGTGCGCCCAAGGGTTCCGTCTAACCAATTTCACTCACAAGGTTTGGCATGGTTTTTAGGTAATTGGGATCGATTCCTCCACTCCGATAACACCAGGAAGTCTCCTTCGAAGATTCGAACGCGGGACTCATTGTCAGAATGCGAACATACTAACCACTTGGTCACGTGCCCATCCCAAGAACGTAAGAGAATTCCCTGAATTCGAACCCGGCTCTCCGATTCTTCAATCAAAGCCGCTGTCCATTACTCCACCGTGCCTTTCTACTATTGTCGTTTTTGTTGTTGTTGTTGCTATATAAACGTAGCAATTTTTGGCATAGTACTAGCTGTGGGTAGATATGGCAGATATTCAGCATGGTTTGAGAAGCATTCAGAGTCAACGAGCAAATTCCAAACCGCACAGTTTTCTTTCGGTGTCTAATCTTGACATTGACAACCATTTTTCTCCAGCCACTTCGGAATTTTCAGTATTTATGGAACCGAGAGCGCCAATAATTCATTGACCACAATTTGTATACTCACCATTTTAAACTATTATTATTACTTTTATTCTTCTTCTTGTTGGTTTTAATCTAATGGTTGATGTTTCACATAGATCCGCTAGTACATAACAAAATATGAAAGCCAATTCCACAAGGTTTGAAAAAAATGAGAATTTAATTTCATATATATATATATATATATATATGTGTGTGTGTGTGTGTGTGTGTGTGTGTGTTATTTTTCTAGGATCGTTTAACTTTTTTTCTTATTTTACATTACAGAAAAACAAAAGTCTGCATTAAAATCTTGTCATTACACATTGTAAAAAAATAGATAAGAATTGAAATAAATTAAAAAAAAAAACAAAGACCAGAAAACTATAATAATGCCGACGTTTTCCGTGCCATGCGAGAGGAAAGAATGAAAAGTAGTAAAAGTCTATTTCTAAACGATAAAAAAGAAATCAGCAACTTTAAAAAAAAAAAAAATGAAACTAGAAACACGGGGATGTACATTAGGAAAAACTGTAAGATGGAGAATAATCACAAAAAAATAATGTAGAAATTAAGTTTTAAAAAAAAAACTATGTTAAAAAACGAATGGCAGAGAATTATCAGTTGCGTGTTTAAAAGAATTTAACAAAATGAAAATCAGGATGATAATGTGGATATATTTTTTTTCTCTTGTGCATGTAAGTTAGAAAAGGAAATATATATATATATATATATATATATATATATATATATATATATATATATATATATATAATTCTTGGTGTAGATGTTTGTATGTGCATGATCTGGGAGATAAAGAAGGAAAGGAAGAGAGCTTGAAAAGAAAGAAGAAAAAGAAATCAGAAGGGAAAAAAACTGAAAAGCCATCGTGATTCGCTATAAACTTTTTAGTGTTATTGTTGAGATATGACTGCAAGCGCGTAAATGCATTTTTGAAAACTGTTTTTTTAACCACTGCATGCGTGCAATATCGTTCTTCTTCTGTTAGGTGTCGTCTCATTTTTTTTCAGGACGTAGGCGATTATGTTTCTCCACAACTTCCTGCCCTTTGCAATATCTGCCTAACTACCAACCGTCCCACTCTCTGATCACATATCAATTTACAAAAGCATGTTAGATTACTCTCTGCTACGATTTTTTCTCTTTTATTTCATAATGTCCTCTGAATGTCAAATTCTCCAAGCTCACCTTCCTCATAATGTGTCTCAGGTATTTCAGCTGTCTCTTTCTAATTTCGAGTTATCGCGCCAGTAAGTACCTGACTCCTATTGCTATTCTCTACCTTTACAAGAACCATATCAGACCAGAAATCGAGGACTGCCGCCAGATATGAATTAGAGCTGCCTAATATTTACCTTCCAATCTCGATGGATTCCAAAAGCTTCTCCATCTTCTTGTGGGTGATTAATCATATCCCACCCTACATCCTCTTTCTCACAGGCGAAACGTAGCAAAACTCTCGCTTCTCTATCGTTATTTCCGCGGAAAGTGTTCAAACGTACTATATTCCTTAGTTCCACTAGTTCCAACTTTTTGCATCTATGACCCTCCATGCCGCGCCCATTGTAGCGTACCACCCTCATTCCATTCGTATTCCATTGATGGAGGTTCCAACCGAGCTGCTTCCTCCCACGAACCACAGCTTTGTGAAACCGATACCCAATCAGATGCTTCTCCGATCATTACAATCTTAACCTATTCAAGTCTAGTGTCAACCTTTACCTTCCTCACATATCTCCATAAACTTTGCCTATCATTCTGTAATCCTTTACCTGCTTTGTGAAACCGAAACACAAAAAGATGCTTTCCTGATCACTACAATCTTAATTTGTTCAAGTCTAAGGCAACAGTTATCTTACATGTATGTATATCTATACCCTCATAAAAAAGTCTTTACATTGAAATGCTCTCGAGCCTTGTGCAAAAATGTATGTTGATTTTTTTTCTTTCTAATTTCCTTAAACTATTCTCAGTAGTCTGTATTAGTATAAGAAGAATGCCTTTCAAGTTCTCCAGCGTTCATATAAAAGAATTGATATTATATAACTGTTCAGCATTCGTTTCCTTGCTTCTAAAGGAATTTTCCTGTTATCTAAATATTTTCTTAGCTTTTGGAAGACATCTTTCACTATTACAATGCCGCTTCGGCTTTCGGTGTTACATTTTCTCATGTCTGTTAAAATAATTCCCAGATAGGCAAATATCTTGTTTGATTTAGCTTACGTTTATATCACGTTGAAAAACCATTTCTCGTACGATCGTCGAAGATAAGCAACATCGAGCCTGGTCAGTACCGATAAACAGTATTAACAACATTTACCGGCCTGAATGTCCCAGAAATTGTAATAGAAGATATGTGTCCTCCAACAGGAATCGAACCTGTATCCTATACGGAACCGTCATAGAGCCTGACGTGCTTTTACCCATTGAGCCACAGTGGGGCGTTTCGGTTAGCAAGGTCGATTTTACTGTTTTTATACTGCAATTTTCGATGATTTTCTCACGTACATTCATATCTGCTCAATGTGTATCCAAATGTAAGCAAATGCCGTCACACATTTTGAAATGGACAAAGACCGACAATTATTTTAAGATATTTTTATGTTTATACATTCTTTTTTATAGATACAAACATTTAAGTAAATGTTCTGTTTATAATAAACAGTATTAACAACATTTACTGACCTGAATATCCGAGAAATAATTTGTCTATTTCATTATATATATATATATATATATATATATATATATATATATATATCGGTATTAACAGACACATGTATTTTACTTCCTCATATTTCCTTTTTTTTAGCCGATGGGTCAAATTTAACTTCCCCGATCGATAAGCGGTTAGTTCCTTTTATCGCATGTTTTGTATTGACAATCACAGTAGTTGTAGTTTTCCTCTTGTTCATTTTAATTACACTTGTTTTATTGCATTAATAAGCTGTCGAATCCCTTCATAAGATCTTTAAATAAATACGAATAATGTACTTTCAACATTAAATCATAAATTTTTTGCAATCCTTCACGCTACGGAATCTCCAAACGGCACTCCTCTGGATTAGACTCATAATTTACCCACTGGTTGACAGGATACCCACCCAAGGGAAGAGAGCTCTGACTACCCTGTTATTTAAACGATTAATGGAAGAATTTAAATTCATGCATTTCAAACGTTTATTAACGGGAAGTGAACGAAATAGAATCGAACAGAATTCGAGGGCGGGTCAGCAGTTTCACATTCCGCTTCAATAATCGTTGCAAATCCATCCAT